ATTATTTTTTTCGTTGTTCTTTGTGACAATGACAACAATAAAGATCAAGTTAAAGACAGGTAATGGTGGACTTAGTGATTCCATTTCCTCCCATTGAGGGACATCCCTGGCATTAAAGTAGGAGCTAACAGTTCTAATCAAAGCATTTATCATAGATTAGGCCACCATTATAATATGCCTCCAGAAATATCTGGAAGATAAGACTTATTGTTTTCTAAATGCTTTATAACGGTCTCTATGGAAGCCATCAGGCCTTGCTCCAAGAGTCTCCGCCTCACAGTGCAGATGCACTCACACCTGCCTGCTGCCATTCCTGAGCAAGCTCTGCACCGCTGGTAGCCCCATCCCGCAGCTGGAACACTTTTCAGAGACGGTCCTGGCGCTCGCTAGTCTTTCTTGGCGCCCTGGAGCCTTTTTGGCAACAATGGAACCTCTCTCCTTGAAGTTCTTGATGCTGCCATAGATTGCTGACTGAGGTGCAATCTCTCTAGCTGCGATTCTCTTTCCTGTTCGGCCATTTTTGTGTAGTGCAATGATGACTGCATGTGTTTCTTTACAGATAACCATGGTTCACAGAAGAGAAACAATGATGCCAAGCACCAGCCTCTTTTTAAAGTGTCCAGTGGCGTCATTCTGACTGAATCATGACAGATTGATCTGCAGCCCTGTCCTCATCACCACCCACACCTGTGTTAATGGAGCAATCACTGAAACCATGTTAGCTGCTCCTTCTAAGGCAGGGCTGCAATGACGTTGAAATATATTTAGGGATAAAGTTCATTTTCTAGGCAAATATTGTCTTTGCAATTAATTGCTGTTACGCTGATCACTCTTTATAACATTCTGGAGTATATGCAAATTGCCGTTATAAAAACTGAAGCAGTAGACTTTGTAAATATTAACATTTGAATCATTCTCAAAACTTTTGGCCATGAGTGTATATTCTCGCAGCTCCAGGTTTTGTTTTTCAAACTACAGTGGGGGAAGTAAGTATTCAACTCATTGCTGATTTTTCAGGTTTGCCCACTTACAAAGAATGCAACAATCTACAATTTTATCATATGTACATTCTAACAGTGAGAGACAGAATCCCAAAGAAAATTTCCAGAAATTCACATCATATGAATTTATAAAAAATGATAACCATCTGATGAGGAAAAGCAAGTATTTGACCCCCCAACAAACAGCATGTTAATATTTTGTAGAAAAGCCATTATCGGCCAGCACAGATGTCAAACGGTTTTTATAGTTGGTGACAAGGTGTGTGCACATTTCGGCAGGGATATTGGCCCACTCCTCCCTGCAGACAGCCTCCACATTTCGGCAGGGATATTGGCCCACTCCTCCCTGCAGACAGCCTCC